TCAATATCACCAATAATAGCAAGTTGCGAAAATAAGGTCAAACAACTTCTATACAAGAAATAAGACTGTGACCACACAAAAGGCCACACCATCTTGGTCTTCATACCTTCGACTACCAAATAAAGTTGGCGCCATCTTAATCCCTTTTATGTGCTTTATGGCCCTTCAATTTTTTCCATTCAATTATTTAAAATAGTGAGATTACACTTGATTTATCTATCGAAATCCGGTCGTACTTATTTATTCATTCATTCGCATTTTGCTGAATTGCTTGTATTTTCTATCAATTTAAACTTTAATCTAGTCTAGACTTACCCACAGAATAAGTAAATTTTATTCTACCTATGTACTCGATTTGGCCAGCAATCTTCTTTAAATGAACTCCTAATTTTTTGTCCCATAATTCTTTTATTTCTAATTGTTCCTCAAATTTTTTCTGAGTTTATTTTCTCTGACTGTTCGCTTTAAAAAAAACCAACACGTATATTTCTCTAAATCACCATTCTTTTCCAGATTAAGCGCGTTGGGTCTGATTTGCAGGAGCGTTCTGTTTCTGTACCTGCCTCTACCACTGTTGAACCAGATATCATTCGTAAAGTTTCATCAGATGAAACTGAAGCGCTTGTCGCTTCAGTCACAGAAACCGTCACCATCTCTGCTTACGGTGCTGGGCCATCCTCCTCATCTTCCCATCAGCCAGAACCCGTAGCCAACTTTTCTGTTATTGAGCATACCACTCAAGCTGATGCCCAATTAATTAAGGCTGTTGCAATAGAAACAAATTTGGAGAAGAATACGACAAGAATTGAGCTTGATCATTTCGACTCAATTGCGATAAACAATTTACCTAGCTGTGTCGGAGAAGCAGAAGCCGTCAAACAAGAGGCACTGCCGAATGAAGACCAATGTACTAAGAAAGATGAATCAGAAATTAACTTGGATACTCTATCTGTTTCTCGTTCTGATGCGTCAGAGGTGGTTTTACCGAGATCGCCCTTTATTAGTCCATCTGAAGGCATTTCTGAAACGAATGCTCCAGGTATATTTGGCTTTCTACTCTAAATTAATTCTATATTGTTTAACTTTTATTTTTATTTGACGTTTTTATCCGATCACATGGAATTATTTTAGGTTATATTTTTTGCGGGCCCAAATAGTCGTCCATATTACCATATTAGCATTGTAGATAAACACTTGTTCTTTGTAATTGACTTTAGGCCTCCTAATCACCCTGATTTACTGGCACCATGGAATTGTTTGAGTAACTAGTTAAGCATATTTGAAAATATGCCCTTAGCATGGATAGCCACACACTATAGTCGTCTTTCAGAATATAGTATTTGGTTATCTTCTGATAGGTATGCATAATTCAGGGTAGTTGCTCTTCAATCGCCTTTATATTTCAATGGCATTTACGTCTACGTAGAATATTTAGTATCAATAAAGAAATGAAGATAAAGATGGTGGGGCCACAGGTATGATCGCAGTTTCGTTTCGATTTGTCGAAACTCCGTCTTGTTGTCAGGGCGACTTAGTAGAACGCATCTTGTCTGAAGTCGTCTGCCATAGTAATTATCGGAATTCCCAACATTAGAGACTGGACTTGGTACGTTTTCAAGCGTTTCGGCGGCATCATCAGTGAGTGCTGCCATTCTCCACACCAAGCTACAAATTTGTCAGAGACAAGTGAAGTCAATCCCTTGATCAACGTTCTGCTGAAACGGTTACACTATCACTCCTCTTTCTGTTCTGGCCCATCTATCCACTCCTTACCCTCTTAATCAACTCCCGCCCTATCACAACTTCTGACTTGTTTACGTTCTACTCGTCAAAAATGTGTGCTCTTTTTTGGCAAGTTTAGTGTGGCCTAATCACACTTGCTATTCACCTTGGCCCCCTCTACGACCGGCCAATCAGACTTGAGCTGCCTATTGGGATCTCCTTGTGCTTCCATAGATCCTTTTTCCTGGTCTTGCTTTATTGTTGTTTTTCCCATGTTTACGCAAGCAGTAGACAAATTTATCGCTAACTCTTCCTTCCTCCACTCTTCTGTTCATTAGATTTTTTCCCCAAGTGTGTCCCTGGCCTCCCTAATCTTCCGCTTCCTTGTGTTTTCACTGTATAAGGCTCTTCCTTACGTTGCCTTCCAATTGATCTCGTGTTCAGTCTGTACGATGTATTCCTCTAATTTTGTTCTTAAATATCCATTTTTTCTGTTATCACCGTCGCACCTCTTTTATCCATTTAAACGAATTGTTTATTCGTTTCAGGGTCTTGCTTATCCTGGCAAATCAGTTCCTATGTGTTGGTTCATGATGTGTCAATATCTTTGCAATTAGTTCCATCTCCATTTACCCATTTACATTAAATGTCAAGTTATCAAGCACAGTGAAGCATTCATATGACTGAACAATTAGTTCTTCAGGTGGATAAACTAAGAGTGACAGTAATAACGGACAAAAAATAGATACTGAAAGGTCAGAATTAGAGGAACACATCGCACAGACTGTACACAAGCTCAATTGGATGGCAACGGAAAGAAGGGCCTCATACAGTGAAAGCTTAAAGAAGCGGACGATTAGGGAGCCTATTGACACACTTGGGGAAAAACTCTAATGAACAGGTGAGTAGAAGAACATAAAGTTAGCGTCTCGGATTTACTGGTTTAACGGTCATATGCCGGAAATTAAATGGCAGAGGGTGAAAGCCTACTTGTTGCTCCGACCAAACTGCGAAAACGAGGTCAAGGCGACATCATGCAGCTAAATGAGACGGCGATCAAACCCATTTCACACCATCTTGTTTTCATATGCACGATAAAAGAATCTGCTTTATTATTTTAATTTAGT